AGTGCGGACATTCGATTAGTTAGTTTCTGTAGGGATCTTTAAATATTTCGACGTAACCGCGATCTACAACAGCCGCAACAACCCACCCAACTCCACTCGCTGAAGCTAGGGTAGTAAAAGGTCCCAATCGCGGGTTAGTTGTGGATTCATGGGCCAGTAGGTTATCTCCAGAAAGCGAGACAGAAAAGACTTTTCCTACAAGACGTGTGTTACAAGATTTTGGCGCCCAACGTGGGGCATAGCTATGATAGTACAGCAATGTAAAATTGCTTTACCATAAACATTAAAAACATAATGTATGGGTTTCCTTGGAACTCGAACTAAATTGCGCATGCAAAATGCCGACCGGAAATATGTATACTTTATTAAAAGAAATGAATGATCAATGAAAACGGCGTTGTTGTCGAATATCAGTATTAAATTTCTGCAAACAAGAATATCAGATACAAAAAGGAGATTCATTTCATTTCGATGAAATTCGTGAGTTTAACTTAGAGAAGTTGTTATTATTTAAGCATTTGAATATTTCGACCAAATTAGAGTAGCTAGGCAATTATCTCGTAATTATAGTCAGAGAAAGTCATTATTTGGATTCCACCAATAGAAACAACCATACTGAGTGTTGTACACAGAATCTACTGGAAAACAGAGTTAAGTTCACATGAGTTTTCCTGTCCGAGATCGGACTCAATTAAATATTCTTTTGGTCCCCCCAGGACGTCTTTAGTGCAATAGCCCAGAAAAACAGAAATAAAATCAAAGTTGAATATATTTAATTATTATTTATTTCGGAGCTTCCGAAATTGTCCAGTGGGGCATACACCAGATGAATTTAGAAAGCCGCCACCAGCATCACAAGATGTCGGCATAGTTTGCGGAGAGCGTATGGAAGATACGCAGCCGTGTGCAGTAACCAAATGCCAACACATATTCCATAAATCCTGTTTAGAAAAACGAGTAATGGAGACAAAAGAATGTCCAAGTTGTATGGTTCTAGTAAGCCTCATAGATGTAAAATACATTGTTGGAAATCATTCTCCGAAACCAAAAGATAACCAAAAAGGACAGCAAAGCAAGAAATTACCTGTAGGTCCTTGGCCAAGCAATCGCTCTTTAACGAGAGAATTAGAGGAAGGCGCTGTATTACCATTACTAGACGTTGACGAAGAAAGGTTAAGACAACAAAGGGAAAGTATAATAGTGAGTCGGATCCTTAGATCGCCGCAGTCAATCATACTGAGTCGGCGAAAATCACATGTTGGAATTGCGAAATGCCTGGACATGTATAAGAAGACTGTTTGGCTGAAAAGCAAGTATTTTGTGATGGTTGCGGGACACCACAAATACATAAACCCAATTGTGCAAAATTAAAGCGCAAGTCGGAAAACCGCCTAGCGGCGCCATTCAATCAAAATCGAGTGTCCACAAATAAGAGATATCTTAGAAAGCATAAATAATTCCATTATAAATGTAGGTCAACAAATTAACGTGAAGTTTATACCATACCATGAAAGATTGAAGAACTATAATGAAGTCAGAGAACTAATTTTTTCAGGATTAGATGGGAAGAGTCATCGCAATACCGTACGAATGCGTCAATATTTTGGAGAGCGAATGGCTCAAAAACGTCTCAACAATATTTGAATGAATATAGGTAATCATAGGTATGCGAAAGTTTCATTTATGAATTATTCAGAGATAGGTTTGCTCGATACAGGGGCAAATGTATATATTGGGTCCACATTGGAGAAAGAATCTTTTACCAACTTTTCGAATTATAAGGCAATTACGTTGCATGTACGCACCGCTGATGCGAGATTGCATTCTGTGTCTGGAATACTGAAGGTACTCATGCGTTATAAGGCAAAAGAAAAAGTGCTTAATTTGTATGTTATTTCTTCCATTTCTCAGAAGTTGATATTGGGTATCGATTTAGGAGAGTATTCTCTTTAGCTTCCCATATTTTGTGTTTCATAAATTGCTTAGACTCCAAGACACCAAGGAGTTGGGAGATCAGTATCCGTTATCCGAATTTCAGCGTAGACAACTTGAAACCGTCATGGAAATGTTTCCAAATTTTGAACGCTAAGGGCTTGGCCGTATTGATTGAATAAAGCATGATATAGACATAGGAGAAGCAAAACCCGTGAAGCACCGATATTACCTCGTTAGCCCTGCACTCGAGAAACTTCTATATACCGAAATTAATCGGATGCTTAGCTTGGGTGTAATAGAGCCGTCACAAAGTGCGTGGAGTTACCCTGTTCGATTAGTTGTCAGGCCAAATAAGGTAAGGCTTTGTTTAGATGCTAGAAAATTAAATGAAGCAATCAAGAAGGATGCCTACCCGTTACAAAGCATCATGAGATTTTTTGCTCGACCTCCGAAGGCAAACATTATTTCAGAGCTCGACCTAAAAGATGCCTATTGGCAGATCGGATTGTCTAAAGCAGCAAAGCCTCAAACAGCCTTTACAGTCCCAGGTAGAGCTCTCTTTCAATGCACTGTCATGCCTTTCGGCTTATGTAATGTCCCGTCAACTATGTGTCGACTGATGGATACATTAATTCCACCTGACGTACGATACTGTGTAATTGGCTATTTAGATGACATATGTATTGTATCGGAAGACTTTTCATCTCATTAAGCCGTACTAGTGCGTATAGCTTATCAATTCAAGAAAGCTAATATCACTCTTAACATTGCAAAGAGTCACTTTTGTGTAACGAAGGTCAACTACTTGGGTTATGTATTTGGAAGTGGAGGAATAACAACTGACCCTAGTAAAGCCTCTTGCATTATAAATTGGCCGACTCCTATAAATCTTAAACAAGTTCGTGGTTTTCTTGGTGTTTTTGGGTGTTATCGCCGATTTATTAAAAATTATGCAGACATTACGTTCCCAATTACCGAGGTGTTGTCCTCCAAGGAAACATTTAAGTGGACCGAGGCCGCCCAAACAGCTATAAACACTTTAAAGAACCTTCTTACCTCAGCTCCGGTTCTACAGTATCCGGACTTCTATAGAAAATTCTATTTACATTGCGACGCAAGCGATTTTGGTATTAGTGCGGTGCTCGTGCAATTATCCAAAGATGGAGAAGAGATGCCAATTGCTTTTATGTCCCGGAAATTGTCGAAGTCCCAAAGAAATTATAGCGTGACAGAACGCGAATGTCTGGCGGTTATATTAGCTATAGAGAAATTTCGCTGCTCTTTAGAAATGCAACCGTTCGAAGTAGTTACTGATCATAGCAGTTTACAGTGGCTAATGAGTCAACAAGAGATATTGGGACACTGGCTCGTTGGGTTTTCCGCTTACAGTCATTATACCCGTTACTCGTAGAGTAAACGTCGGAAACTATGTAAGAGGCAGAAGGAAGCGTTTCCGACCCCATAGAGTGTATATATTCTTGATCAGGATCACTAGCCGAGTCGATTTAGCCATGTCCGTCTGTCCGTATGAACGCTGAGATCTCGGAAACTATAAGAGCTACAATATTGGGATTAGGCATGCAGATTCCTGAGAATCCTGCGCAGCGCAAGTTTGTTTCAGAAATGTGCCACGCCCACTTAAACGCCCACAAACTGCCCACAAACTGCCCACAAACTTCAAAAAATCGTAAGTATGAACGCGGATATCTCGGAAACTATCAAAGATGGAGAAATGGGATCTCAGATTTAGATTCCGTAGCCTTGTACGCAGCGCAAGTTTGTTACGGAAATATGCCACGCCCACTCTAACGTCCATAAGCCGCCTAAGCCTGTGGCGCCCACAATGTTCATGCTAGATACAAAATTTTAACTGAAATGTATTGGTCTTGTCAATACCTATCGATTGATTTAAAAAGAAGTTTGCCAAGCCCACTCTAACGACCACAATCCGCCCAAAACTGTGGCGCCCACAATTTTCATGCTAGATATAAAATTTTAACTGAAATGTAATGGTCTCGTTAATACCTATCGATTGATCCAAAACAAGTTTACCACGCCCACTCTAACGCGCATAACGCTTAAATCTGTCTACTGCCCACGGGTAGGTGGCGCATTTCAATCTCGCTTTGCTGCTTGCATATCCCCATTTCCCTTTGGTCCCGTTAGCTGAGAAACGGGTATCTGATAGTCGAGGTACTCGACTATAGCGTTCTTCTTTATTTTCATTCAAAGTTGCCCATAGAAAGGAAAAGGATCACATTGTGAATTAGCGCAGATGAGATTGCAAGTTATGAATTCATGGCCCCAAAAATTTATTTATAGTCCACATCGTATCTCGATCCCGAATATTTACAAATGAAGGCGAGAATAATAGAAAATTCTGACTAATTTCCAAATTTGCAGGTTGTGGATCGTTTTGTTTATATTTGCATGGAACACGTTTCTGGAAACAAGGAACTAGATTCCGCTGAATGGAAATTATGGGAAACAGAACCGCTACGTGCTTCTGCAATTCGTCAAGCACATGATAGCATTGTAAATACTCATGGTGGACGGAAGTTTTATTGGCCAGGATTATCTAAAGAGGTGCGAGATTACATACGTAATTGTGAAATCTGCAAGCAAACGAAAGCTCCCAATATGGCTGTGCGTTCTCCGATGGGCCAGCAGAACATCTCAGTTAGACCTTTTCAAATACTTTACGTATATGTTTTAGGTCCTTATCCAAGGAGTTAGAAGGGTTACATAGGTTTATTAATAGTATTAAGATCACTTCTCCTGGTATCATTGGTTGTGCCCTTTAAGAAAATTCACAACGAGTCTTATCAATGATTTTTTAAGCCAGCGAATCTTTCCAGAATTTTAAGTTCCCAAGGTAATTGGGAGCGACAACGGCGTGCAATTCAAAGCATATGAATTTGAAGCCTTGTTAAATAAATCAGGAATTCGACACGTATATACTGCTTTTTATTCCCCGCAAACTAATGGGGCAGAGCGTGTAAATCGTTCATTAATGTCGGCTATACGATCGTATATCATTTACCCAGTTTCTGTTCTGCTTCAAGATCAGCCTTACATCAGTCAATAGGGTGCTCCCCTTACAAAGCCTTATTCGGGATGAATATGATCAATCACGGGGATGACTATAAACTATTAAAGGAAATGTCGATATTGGAAGAGTCACCTAGGTTAGAGCGCGAGGATCACCTGCAGGTAATAAGACAAGAAATAAAAAAAGACAGTCGCAAGGCGTATAAAAGAAATGTTCATTTAAGTCATTTCAGAAACAATTTCAATAAAAAGTTGGCTTCCCAGTTCTCCAAGTGTAGAGTCAAACAAAAGCGAGGAAATGCCTACTATATACTGGAATCTCCACAAGGCAAAGAAATCGGAACATATGCTAAAGACGTACGTAGCTAATTACAGCTAATCATTCCTCGCCAGGTTCGTCAGATTACCTGGTGGGTGTAATGTACCAACCTTAAGATCTTTAAAGAAAATTTTCGAAAAGTAACTGATAATAAAGCCAGCACTCGTACTTATCCGAGTTATTTACCGGAGTATGTAACCCCATGTAATCACAAGCAAAATTGCCTTAATAAAGACGGTAAGTGATCCAAAGCGTCAAAAGTTCGTTTTTTTTCGGATGCTTAAACTCCCAACTTTTGAATTCCGATCTATTCAGTCATTCTGTTTCGAGAACTCTAAGTGAAAGGTTGGCTTCAAAAACTTAGTCCAACTTTAATTTCTGGCCATACCACGTGCAGTCGAAAGTCACATAAATCTTTATCATCAGTGATTGTTAAGGCTCGTGTATGGTAAAACACAATGAAATATCCAACTAGGCAAACGTCTAAATCTAAAGAAAGACAAACTGAACGTAAGTAAAAGTAAAAGGAGATAGCTAACGTGAAATTAATATCTACTTCTCAATCAGAAGAACAAGCCATAAACATCTAGCCAGCAGCAGGTTGTCCGTGGGGTTAGGAACCAAGCTGTTCACAATCTAGGCTAGTCGGCGGGAAAACCAGTCGTCAACCTGGAATAGGATTCAGTGCAGCTGCTCCGAGATTAGAGAGAGAGAGAGTTAGCCACTATCACTTGGAAATAACCCCAAAACAAAATATTAAAATATACCTGAAATTACGAAAATCAGAGTGCAATTGAGGTGTTACTGAATTTGAAATACTTACGCACCCAAGTCGGTACAAGCGTTGTATAACTCTCTTCTTTCACCTGTAAGTATAAATCTTGGGTATCGACGGCGGTTGCGAAGAATTAATTAAAACTTGTCTCTCCAAGGAAGCTCAACTAGTTTACCCCTGGAACCATGGAGCGCTTCATCTGAATTTTCAGAAGGTAAGTGATCGCATGCTACTCTAGTTTTGATTGTTTCGAGCAAGCCGCCGATTGAACGAATTTTACTCCAAAAGCGAACGGGTGAGCTAAAACCCTCCAAAACGAATAACCGGCTGCCCTCCCAAAATACAAAAACTTCGGTGCTGATCTGGCTTTTATACACATAAGTCCAACCGAGATAAGCTTTCCAGGCAGTTTTATTTTGATTGTGTTATGCGCTTGGGTATAATTTGGCTGCCCTTGCCTTGCATAAGTAAATCAGAAAAAAAAAACAAAATCTAAATAGACAAGCCTGGTGATGAAAACGAAAGAAATGAATAAATAGATTTGACCCATACAAAGAAACAAATCACTTAAAACTAAAAAAACCTATACCTAGAATAAAAATGTAAACGACCAGGCATGTTAGATAATATAATTTTTTTTTTAATGCTTTGCTATTTATTTATTGAATCTTCTCCCATTGGATACTAACAATAAGTGTATCAAATCTTAACTAATTTCTCTAAATAACAGTAATATGACTGATATTGTGCTAAAGGGGGCCCGAAAGTAATTGCTGGCTTGGCAGGTCGTTGCGTTGTAGACGTGATCGGCTGGAAACCCAACTCAAGACTCTTGTGAGCCGATTGGGGTGCACATAGAGTTTTTAATTGTAAGATGCTGTTTTTTTGTTTACATATTTGTTCATTTATTTTAGTCCGCTAATCAGATAGCCACCTCTCTACTACGGAGAGGTGGTTTGCTAGCTGTGTTGTGGCTCGGCCTGGGCACCTCAAGCGACTTAAAATTGCGGTGTCGTCAGCGAACGTAGATGTTGTTAGCTGCTCGTTCCTGGGAATATCTGCTGTGTATAGGACGAAAAGAGTAGGTCTAGCGCGCTTCCTTGCTGGACTCCAGCTTTGATAATGTAGTCGTCGGATGTTGTTGTGTTGTAACTTACTGCAAAGGTTCTGTTGTATAGATACGACTCAAGAAGCTTGTGAGTGTAATCTGGCAAGTGTGTTTTGATTTTGTGCTTGAGGCCATCTAGCCATACTCGATCGATCTAGCCATTCCCGATGCTCAAATGCTGTTCGTGTTTCTGATGTTATTCTGTTTACTTGTTAGATTATTGCATGGTTTTGACGAGAGCCAAATTGATGAGCAGGGATAACATTGTGTGCTCCTAGATATGGTATTCTGCGAGTTAGAAGGCATTTTTCGAAGAACTTTGACACACACGATAATAAACTAATTGGTCTGTAGGATGACGAAATTGTGTGGTCTTTTCCATTTCCATTTTTTCGGATAGTAGCCGAGAGTTGTGATCCCATTGAAGAGCTTACAAATAACCTCAACGGCAGAGTTTGGAAGTTCAATTAAACATTTTTGGGGTTATTTGGTCACCGCCAGGGGCCTTTTTCGGTTTCAGTTCCCCAAAGACTTTCGCGATGTTGGCTGAAACAATGGTGGTAGGGAAATAGATTCTGACTCGATTTGTGGTAGGACAAATGAACCAATGGCAGGGTTCGTCTGGAAGAGTTTTTAGATGTAAAGCAAAAGTTTCAGCTCTATCTTCGTCGCTGCGGACCCAGCTGCCAGATGAATTTTTTAATGGTGTGACTGTTTCGATTGGAGAGCTCAGATTTGGGTGAGCCCTCCACTGAGGATGTTTGTACTTGTTGGCGAAAGTTTTTCAATGTACCGCAGCTGTGCGTTTTCTGTTTCTTCCTTTAGAGCTCGATTTAATGTGCGAGTGGCTTCCTTAAGACGTTTTATTGATGACGGCGATCTGTTGGTTTGCCAGGCACGTCGCAGTCGCCTCTTTTCTAGGACTAGCCGTTCAATTTGCAGATTAGTTTTGAAGTGGTTGGTTTTCACGTCCCTGCCTTGTGGTGTTGAGATAGTGGCTGCCTCCACGAATACTTCTTCAAGAGCATCGGTAGAGCAGTCGATGTCCGCTTCGATGTTGAAGTGAGGGGTTAATTTACAAACTTACATACTTTTTATATTTTAGCCAGTTGGTTCTGTGCGACGTCAGCCTGAGGGGGTGATCTGTAGATTTTGTGCTTTGAAGAAGGGTTATTAGCACTGGCGAATGGTCTGACGACAGGTCCGAAGGCGCTTTAGCGCTTGTTATATTGCGGGAATGTTTTTTTTGTCACCGCAAAAGTCTATTAGGTCTGAACTTTCCTGGGGTCTGTTGGCCAGTATGTGGTTATATGATTGCATTGTATAATTGCCTTCCTTTGGGAGTAACATGGCGAGATCACCAGTGCGTGTGTTTAGCATTATAGTCCCCTGCAGCTATAAAGCGATCTCCAAGCAAGTTGTAGAAGTCCATGAATTGTCCTTGAGAATTGTAAAGCGAGGCGGACAGTAGACAGCGGCTATGGTGAGGTTTCCGTTGCCTGACTGCACTTTGATAGACGCAGCTTGTGAGTAATAGTTGCAATCTTTGATGAAAGTGGTGCTGATGCGTTCCCTGATTAGGATGCGGTTCTGCGTGGGCCCTACCATCTGGATGGTCTGTGCGGTAGAAAGTGTAGCCTCTACTTGGAAGTTGTATTTGGTTTGTGAGGTGCGTCTCTACCAGTAGGATAATGTCGATATGATTATCATTCAGGAACTGTGTTACTTCAAGGTTGTGACGTGAAACGCCATTAGCGTTCCACATTCTTATTCGTAGATTTGCCATCTGTTATTTAGACTGCTTACCTGCAAGTAGCTGTATCACCATGTTCTGGTTTTGAACCAGTGTTTGCTGCACTTTGTTGTTTGGTGACCATCATAGATTCCAGAGTGCTTTGTGACTGTACTTGGATCTGCTGAGCGTTTCTTAGATTAGACCGGAGTGGGTTTTCCGTCCCTGATCGAAGGGCATCGGCGTATGAGAAGCCCTTCTGGGTGTTTAGTTGACCAAATGAGGATCTTGCAGCCGTGCAGAAAAATACTTCTGGCGTCGTACGCGAGTAAGTGTATGCATTTTGGGTATTCTGATGACGCGTTGCTGTCACTTTTCGCATGCGGTCCTTCATCTCCTTGTAGATCGGACAGCCCTTGTAGTTTGACGTGTGGTTACCTTGGCAGTTAACGCATTTTTTCTTTTCGGGGTCTTCTTTGTTGGCAGGGCAGTTAGCCGAATTGTGGAAGTCTTCACAAGTTACCCAAACTGTTCGAAATGAACAGTATGCCCTGGTGTGTACATACTCCTGACAACTTGTGCATTGCACTGGGCCGTTCCTTTTACGTGGCTCTTCCACGATGATTCTTCGGTGCAACAAGTATTGCAGGCTATAAATGCGGTGCACTTCATTTTTCTTCAAGACCCTGCCTTTTGGCTCCAGCTCGACCCTGAAAAGTGGTTGCGGCTCTTTTTTCCTGTTTATAATGTTACTGACGTTCTTTGCAGAAAAACCTTTTTCCTTGAGAGCATCGATAACTTCCTTGGCGGTTACGTCCGGCTCGATTCCTTTAAGTACCACTTGCAGGCCCTTGCTGCTTTTTAGTTGGTACGTGTAGAAGCTTTTACTAGCTTCCTCCAGGTATTTGGATACAGCTCGGAAATGTTTTCAGATTTGGTCTGAAGCTTGGTTTCATGGATATCCCCTTTTGTGACCAGAACAACATGAAAGTTTTCGTCCACGGTCAGCGCAACAATTTTGTTGACCACGGCGTTCGAGGTTTTTTAACCCTAATGTAAATTGGTGGGGGCTTAGGTTGGGTCTCCTGAGCCTGTTTAGGTTCATTTTCAGCTAGAAGCGCAAATCTATTGCTGTTGGATCTTTCGGGTAATTTATTTTCTATTTGGACACGGTTTATTTTTGACTTGTTATCTACCGCGGTGCTCTGCGGGCTAAGCTTACGCTTGATATGGATGTACCGATCTAGTCCAGTCTGTATGGCTGGACCCGCTTGCTGAATTTTTTTTGGTTTTGATTTGT